AGAGACTAACTTGAACTGTAAACTTTCACTTAAAGTACAATTAAAAATTAAAAAAAAAAAGGTGTGACTTGAGTCACACCTTTACTCAAGTCACGCCCTTGTTTGAGTCACAACTTTTATCTTACAAGAGATAAAAGGAGAGAAAAGCGAGCAGAGAGGAGAGGGACCTTATTACCACCAAGAACAGCCAGGAGCAGAGAGCATCCTTTGGACCTGGGGTTCCTGTGCTAAGAACCTCCTAGACCCAGGGGAAGATTAACACCAAGACACAAGGAGATCTCCAAGGAATACCAGGCCCACAGATGTTGAAAGGCGACGAGGACCTTCTCCCAGAACCGAGAGAGAAAGCCTTCCCCTAGAGCTGGCGCCCTGAATTCAGACTTCTAGCCTCTCAAACTGTGAAAATAAATTTCTGTATGTTAAAGCAATCCACTTGTGGTATTTGTGTTATAGCAGCACTAGATAACTAAGACAGAGAGGAACTGCTAATTATTGGAGCTAGTTATGGGTATAAGGGAGATCACTTTGCTATTCCACTTGGTTTACACTGTTCCATGTTGCTCATGATTCACTGAATTGACTCCATGACCCAAATAATGTATTACAACCTACTGTTTGAAAAACCCCAAGTTAGAAGGTAAAATTATGCACATTCCAATAGAAGTCTATACACTACAACAGATTAAGGATAGCTTTCCCTCAAACGGCATTTTCTCCAGGTTTGTTTAAAGGGGAAAAAGAAAACAACAACTACCTTATGTATTTCAAGTCACTGCTGATAAAATACCAATCAGAAATTAAGGTATGAAGGAAAAGCCTTGAGGGAGTTAGTATTCTAACATGAGTATGATGGGGAACCAGTGGCATGTTTTAGGTAGGAGTGGTAAGTGCAGATTTTAATTTTAGAAGAATCTGACTGAAACAAGAGGGATGGTTTGGATGCAGAGAGAAAAAAAAAACGAAGACTGGTGGCAGGGAGATTAGGAGGCTTTGGCAATAGCTTTGAGATGACGAAGGCCTGAACTGAGGCAGTGGCACTGGGGATGGAGGGGACAAATGTGAGAGATATTTAAAAGGCTGAGTTGTTAGAACATCTTGATGGTTTGAAGGGTGATGGGCCAGGGAGATGGCTTCGCACATACGCACTCAATAAATACTATGATTAATGAAAGGGTAGAATCAAAGCCTAGGAACTGAGATGCTTCACTAACTCAGGCACTGGGGAACATCTTTCTCAGGAGGAAATAACCTAGAGTCCACATACAACGGATCAAAGCAAAGATACGCAAAGTTACCTGAAAGAAACATTATGGCTACCCAACCAGCCAAACCAGAGTGTAACCTAATTAAACATATTAATCTAAAAAATGTGTGCAGCCCTGGATACAGAGAGTGAGAGAAGCCTCAGAGGCAGGAGTTACCCCAGCACTGGCAAGGGAGAGGGAGCCTAGTTCTACCAACTGTGGGTACTGCAAGCCCTGTCGCAACTGTTTATTTTTACTGGAAACTGGCAATCTGGTTTCTACCTCAGTCCCTATGAACTTGCTTTATGAGAGATCTGTCCCTGTTTTACTGATGAGAATCAGGTTTCTGAACTTAAAGTTTAGACCTTTGACCAGGTTGAATTTCCTAAAATAATGAATGCCACTTAAATAAGGCCTCCTGGGAGACTGTCTGCTGGCTTTTCCTATTTGACAGAGCCTTACATCTAACAGCGTAGCATCATTATTTTCACAGTCACCACCTATGTTTTTACTAATGCTAGCAGCAGAGGAGCAGAATACCATGTTCTGGGAAAAACTCCACCAAGAAACCTTCCCCAGTCCTCTCAGGTAGAACTATTCCCTGCCTTCTCTGGGTGTCCCAGCTCTATCATAATCCTCAGCATGCAATTAAACGTCAATAGATGTCTATCTCCCCTACTGTAACACTGATGGCAAGGCCCTCATTCAAGTCTTCTCTGTCCCTGACCCAGCATGGTACCCAGCACGAAACAGGCCTCAGCAAGATGAATGGAATGATAATGACTTGCTCACTGTGCATTTTTTAGAACTCAGACAATACACAGTTTTCTGGCAGGAGGAGGTATACTATAGATGTGTATGCATGCAAAAAAGTGTTTTAATGTAATTATTTTTTCAGCAGAGCAGAGTGGGCATGGATTCTGGAGCCAGACTGTTTGAGTTTGAATCCTAGCTTTGGCACTTTTTAGCTGTGTGATCTTGGGCATTATTTAACCTCTTTGTACCTCAATTTTCTCATCTATAAAGTGGTAGTTACAGTACTTACCTTAAATGGGTGATTTGGAGATTAAAAGAATCAGATCAGTATATATAAAATACTCCAAATAATACTGGGCACATAGTAGTGCTAAGTGTTAACTTGCAATTATTATCTTTTAAAATTCTGCCTATCCACAAGAAGTCCCTGGGTGGTACAAATGATTAACGTGCTTGGCTACTAACCAAAAGGTTGGAGTTCACCCAGAGGCCCCTCAGAAGAAAGGCCTGGTGATCTATTTCCAAAACAATCAGCCATTGAAAACTCTATGGAGCAATTCTGCTCTGACACACATGGGGTTGCCATGAGTTGGAACTGTCTCAATGGCAACTGTTTTTTTTAAATCCACAAGAAAGATAAGAAGTGCTTTCCACTAAGAAGCGGAATCCACAGGTCAGGTATAGAACAAGGTACAACAGTACTGCAGATTAAATAAGTAGATTTAATAAAACTTGCAGGAGAACAAAGGGACTTTGAAGTTATCTGTGGTCCCAGGACCAGCAACCTCAGCATCAACTGGGAGCTTGTTTGAAATGCAAATTCTTGGGTCTCACTTTAGACGTACCGAATCAGAAACTCTGAGGGTGGGGTCCAGCAATCTGTATTTTAATAAGCCCTCCAGGTGATCAATTTGAGAACTTTTTCCATCACCACCTACATCAAACCTAAAGCCTGTTGTTTCTCCTAAATAGCTCTCCAACTGGTCCCCTTCTGTCAGGCCTCGGCCACAGCTACATTTTAGGTCTTTACCTTCTCACCTGGATGACTGCAACAGTCTAACAGCTCTCCCTAACTTACCTCGTTTTCTCCTACGGCCATCCTGCAAAATGCCACCAATGAGATTGTTCTTAAACACAAACCTAAAGTTCAGTCACACTGAACTACTTCAATACTTGCTGCTTGCTAAGCACACAGCGGAAAGAGAAAACACACATAATGTGACTTACTCCTCGGTCATTACACATACTGTGCCCTCTGCCTAGAATGCCTTGTCCCTTCATCGGTGTGATAAACTCTTCAAAACTTACTTTCTGCCTCCTTTTTAATGGATTCTTTCCAGAGCTTTGCCAGCATTGATGAATTATTTTTCATTTTTGCTAGCTTTGTGGTTTTAAAATTTTTTTCTTTAATAAAGAGTAAAGTTGGCCATTTCCCCCATACATTTATTTATCACTTATTATAATAACAACTAACATTGGATGAGTGCTTTCATTTGTCAGAAACTGTTCTAAATCCTACTAAACACTCAAATAGGAGACTGGAAAATGTTTTGTAAGATGCCATGTGATATGTAGTAGGATTATTCCATTAATCCTCAAGAGCAGAGATTACATGGATTATTTGCTTATAATACTTCTCTGGCTTCTCACCTCTAACAAAAGTAGAGAGTAGTGATTAAAACTCTGGAGCCAGTCTCCTGGGTTCAAATTCCAGGTCTGCCACTTACTAGCTGCATAGCTGTGGCCTAGTGAGGGCACCTCTTCAGTAAAATGAAGACAATAATAGTACCTATGAGTCAGAATCAACTCGACAGCAATGGGTCTGTTGGTTTTATACTTTACAAGGTTACTGTTGTGAAGATTAAATGAACTAATATATGTAAAGCACTTAGGATCATGCTTAGAAATTAATAAATGCTAGTTTCTATTGTTATTTATCGTGTCCCCTTCCTAGCATTTCCTACGAGCAATTTTTTTTTTTTTTCACACAAAATGAGACGTACCATGGTAAACTGGAAAGAGCATCATGTTTTAGAAATAAAGAGATCAGAGTTTAATTTCTGGCCCAGCTACTTGTATTAGCTATATGATCTGAAGCACATCATTTTAACTTTTTGAGCCTCAGTTTTCCCGTTTCTAAAATAGAATAATAAAAGTACCTACTAAAGGCTGAAAATTAACTGAGAAAACGTACATAATGTACATTTACTAACCAATAGCTAGTTTTACTATTAATAATACTAATGCAGCTGAATTTGTTTAATTAAAATAAATAATATTAAAAAACCGTTAAAGTCAAATCCTGAATTGTTTTTAAATGGAAGGGAAAAGAAACAAACATTTATTGAGCATCTACTATGTTCCCTGTGGTAACACATTGAATCTTTAGAACAAGTCTGTGAGTTAGGTGTTAAGATGCTCACTGGATAAGGAAAATGAGGCTCACGGAGGTTGTCATTTTTTTAAAGACAGCAGAACAGAGATTCAATCCCAGGAGTATATGAATTTATTACATCGTAGTGCCTTCCTTCCTGGAGTCACAAATCTTCATTCGGCAAATACATACAAAGTTACCTATGTTTCAGGTACTACTCTAGGCATACACATTTCCTATCTTTCTTTCAAAATAACAGGACATAACTAATAATAGCAGTTACCATTTATTGAGCATTTATTCTATAGCAGGTACTGCCCCAAGTGCTTTTCATATATTAATCATATTACTTGACTGTAGTCCCTGGGTGGTGCAAACAGTTAAATGCTCAACTATTAGCCAAAAGATTGGCAGTCTGAACCTACTCAGAGGCGCCTCAGAAGATAGGCTTGGCAGTCTGCTTCAGAAATATCACAGCCTTGAAAACCCTATGGAGCAGTTCTACTGTGCACACATGGGGTTGCCATGAGTCAGAATCGACTCGACGGCAACTAACAACGACATACATAACCCTCCACGGACACAGCATGGCCATAATCAGAGAACTGGGCAAAACTCCATTCAGATAGGATATATGGATAGTATGCTTTATTATGTACTTATACCTTATTGTTCTCATAATTACAGGCTACAATGTGGAAATTTGAAATGTAAGAGAAAATTCTATAAAGAGAGCCCCAATCAACCTGAACAAGTATGTAGAAGATGGTTAGAACTTTCTAAGTAGTGCCACTTATCACCTCAGCAATACTTATGTGTTCTTTTCAAGCACAGGCTCTGGAAGCAGAGTCAACAATGTAAAGTATAAACACAAAGGACTTAAGACATTCATCCTACACAAGTGAGCATGGAGATATAGATATATATTTATATAATATATACATACTTTAATATTATATTGGTCCACTGAGTATACATATTTTAACAAAAGATAATAATCTATGTAATCCAGTTAAACATACATAAGATTAGGGTATACTTATTACATTGAAAGTTGGTGTATATAAGTTACAGGTATTTAATATTTTCCAGAGTGTTTTTTAAATACAAAAAAATATTTTAAAAGCATTTCAAACCTTTGTTCATTTTCCCAGTGCAAAAGAAGGTTGTTCAAGTCAACTTACCTTTTTCCTAAAGAGTTAGGGGAAGAAAAAAACCAAAAACCCACTACCTACCACAACTCCCAACACTACCTTCTCAATCAATTTTTGCAGTATATCTTTAGATCACTGGATCACTTTATCAAAATTAAAGCCTTGTGATGATGATTCAGCCCTTGCTTCATACGTATGACTTTTATGCTGAAATGTTTCTATTTACAAAAGTAGAAAAAAGTTAGCAGTGAGAGAAAGTGGTTTAAATTTTGTTTTGAACTACAGCAGTCCAATTATACATGGTGAGGGAAAAAAGCACCATTTCAAGATGAAATGAATTGGATATTTTTGAATTTATTTATAGGTTAGGCAATAAGTTACCTGATGAACACAAATCAATACCACCTTGACTTGGTGATTCCAGAGAATTTTAATGAGTTTTTAGGTGAATTTTTCTTTATCTTGGTATTCAATAGATTATTTGAGTCATAACAGATGTTAAAAGAATTAAAGTTTTCTACAATTTACAGCCTACTTCACAGTTTATTTCAAATTCAGCTTGTCTATTAGGTCAGTTTTATAGGAGATGGGCTTTTAAGATGTGAAGAGCTTTGGTGATTGGCAGGTTTCTTCTCTCCTAATTAAAAAAAAAAAAATTTTTTTCCTAGCTTGCCAATTTCATAAGTGAAAAACATGAAGAGAATAAATAAACTATTTTTAAACCATGAAGATGGGGGAAAAAAGCAACGATATGATTTAATACATACCACCTCTTCCGTTTGTATTCAGTAAAGATTTTACAAGTCAAGTAAGTGAGGCTTCATTAAGCAAAACAAAAATATATATATGAAAAATTAAAGTACCTTCCAGTTCTAGCTCACTAAAGTTTCTTCTGCAAAAGTACAGAAATAAACCTATCATGAACTAAAGAGGTCAGTGCCACAGCAAAGGCAGAATGGCTGCCATGTTAAGACTTTTGCTTACCTTTGACTGATGGGTACATTTTAGGTGATAAATTTTTCTCATTATCTAGCACTTCAAATGTGCATTGTCTTACAAATCTGATTTGTAAGAAACTGATTTTATTAATTAGCAAACACATGGAAAGGTGTCTGTTGATCTAAAATTCTTTAAATCCACAGAAATTATTTTTAAAATATATTTCACACATGAGGCTTTCATGTTTTTATTTAAGAAAAGATCAAACCTGAACCTATAATGGTTCAAACCAAAGCATCTCTTTTTAAATAGCTGAGTCAATTTTTGCAAAAAGTTTTCCTCGTCCCTAAAAAACAAACTAAAGAGCACTTTTATTAAAAGGAAATGCAAACATGCACTTTGCAGTAGCCAGTTTGCACCATCATAAAAGAAATAGGATGTTCTTTCCCTTCCCCTCCCTCAGCCATTCAAATCAGGGGAGAATACTGCAAACTTTAAGAATCCCACTGGCTATCATCAGAATAACCACAGAATAAGGGTAGTGCCGGGATGAAACTATTTCTCTATATTCCAGAAGGCAGAAGCTTGGGTGCTCTAGCTTTACAAGTTAAAGTAGCACAGACAGAGAAAAGCTCACAGTAAATGCACACCAGAACAGGGGCCTAGGTGAAGTCGTTTGACTGGGTTACTGCTTTTATGGGAGTTGGGAGACAAATCTGAAACGGAGTTAAAAAAAAAAAAAAAACTTTTGTCACATTTACAGGAATCTCAAACCTTTGTATCCCCATGCTCATAGGTAGTTTGATACACATTGTAAATAGCTTCAGTATTCAGGAAGAAGAATGTTGTTGACAAAGGACATGAGAATTCTTCACGCTTCTGATATCTCAGATTTGCTGAGTGCAATAGCCAGTTCTAAGTCTTCTTGCTCTTGCTGATTTAGTCGGGCAAGCCTCTGCTCTTCCTCTCTCTCACTTTCTCTCTTGGCCCATTCAATCATATCTTCTTCAGAGGGATACTGCCATTTAAAAGACCAAATGAATGAATGAACGAACGAACAAATCAATGAATAAAATAAATAATAAGAAAAGAAGGAAAAAGTAGTTTTTACAAAAGGGCATTAACTATTTGTTTCATCTGAAGGGCTCTGGGAATAGTCTTATTTGTTGCTTGTTAAATTTTTTTCCTGAAAAGACGTTTAGGTTTAACTAGTTATTAAATTGTGGGTTAGTTTAAAAAATGAGTCTGCAGATAGAAAGTCTATAAAACTAAACACTAAAACATCACTTTAAAAAAGTAGAAATGCTTAAGGTGGATTAGAGCATTTAAAAACAGTAGAGGGTTAGCCTTTTTGATCTAACGCAAAACATTTACTACTTCAGCTTTAGTGAGCATCCTCTCATGTCAAATCATTTTTAACTTAACCCCGCTGGTAATTCGCTACCTTAACTAGCCCTTCAGGTACAGAAAACTATGAAGCAAAAATTATGCTGATTTTTCTATACATAATATAAGAGAACAGTGTAAACTAAGCAAGATGTTGATCAAATCATTTCTTTAACTTTTGTTAGGCTTTGAGAACTTTTTGACCCAGTCTAAATAAAATCTTGTTGTTAGCTGCCGTCAGGTTGGTTCTGACTCATGGCAACCGCATGCGTGCAGAGCAGAACCACTCCATAGGGTTTTCAAGGCTGTGTCTTTCAAAAGCAGGTTGCCAGGCCTGTCTTCTAAGGCGCCTCTGGGTTGGTTGGAACTGCCAGCCTTTCAGCTAGTACGTAGTTGAGCACTTAACCATTTGCACCAACCAGGGATGGTTAAAATAAAACCTTAACACTGGTAATTATTAGATTGGAGACATACTTTTATCCACTCAAGCAGTAACCTTAACAGAAAATAAAAATTCTACTTGATTTAAAGTTCTATCACATGGAGGAATCCCATAAACGGATGAAATGAAAGAAATTGTCAGGTTTTTTTGAAACTGGTAGCTCTTTCTTCCCTGGGGAATTAGAGGGTCTTTGAAATTTACAAACATAATATTTAATAATTTTTTCAAAATGAACAAAAGAAGATTATAAGCTGCTTTATACTGGCGCATATTGAGATTCTGGAGTATGAAGTAAGCAAAACACCTCAGCTATTGTTCAAGACTCATTCCAACCAGGTTTTGACTTACAGAAACCATATTTAAGATATTAACCGCCAGAAGGTTATTTTATAGTAAATAAGAGGATTATCATCTCCTAAGAAGGCTAATTCTTGATTCTCTGCTTGAAACTATTACAATTTCATCTAAAAAAAGTCCAGTCAGCATAATTCTCACACTCTATTTTTACAAAATTCAAAATATTGATTCCTATTCTACCCCTTCACATTTAGGACAAGCCACTGGAACTCAAGAGCATGGATTCAGAAGCTAGGAAGCCCACTCCAATTCTGTCTACCTTAGGTGCAAGCAGATTCTCTGTCTACTTTCTTTCTAACTAGAAATTGCTGCAGGGATAAAGAGACTGGTTGGGTGACCAAATGCTACAATGAAGAGGGAGACATTAGGCAGAATGTGGCTGGGGTTATTTGGCCACTAGGTCTCCTATTTCCAAAATAATCTCAAGGGTACAAGGTGATAAGCAGAGAAAATTCCTTTGTTATGGAATAACCCACTGCTGTGAAGTCCATTCCAATCATAGCGACCCTATAGGACCGAGGAGAACTGCCCCACAGAGTTTACAAGGCTGTAAACGAAGCAGACCGCCACATCTTTCTTCTGTGGAGCGGCTGGTGGCTTCAAACTGCAGACATTTCAGTTAGCAGTCAAGCCCTTAATCACTGGACTACCAGGGCTCTGTTGTGGAATAGGTAGTGGTAATGAAGGTCATTTTGCCTGAAAAGAAATCTGGGAAAATGAAACTTTGTTAGCTACTCTAAGAATTTTATTATTATTTTTTAATTATCTGAATAATGATGGGATATGTGTGACTACTTTATGTCCCTCCAGAATGATGCCTCCATGGCTGGCTGCCCCTTTTCTGGGCTCTTATGGGCCCTGTCTGTGCCATTATCACAGCGTCTTTCCATTGTTCCTAATAGTCTGCCTATTCTAGTCAGCTCTGAGAGAATGCTGAGTAAATATGGAAGGTTAGTGAATTAGAGCCCTCCAAATAATTAACATTGTTCAGACTTTGGCAATTGTATTTATTTCACAAAATTGACATTTATGTTTTAAAACAGCTACTATATAAAACAAAAATCTTACTTTCTATTCAAAGAAGCCCTGGTCCTATCCTCCCATATAGTAGTTGCTGACTGTTCTCCAGAAATCAAAACTTTATGCACAAACACACACACACAGTTACAAAGACATAAGCTCATTATTGACATTATTTATCCAGGAGGCAGACAGTAAATGACCCTCTAATAGCCCAAGAGAACTAGGACTACTAAAATTATTTGTGCAATGGAATAATTTTAGAACCATCAAAACAGAATCAAACAGAGGTTTTGCCTGGGGGAAGAATGAAAGATCATTTTTAGTTTATGTTCGTAAATTTAGTTCAAATTAGGCAAATTTGGCAGGCTCCAAAGTAATCTCTGAAAACTCTTCAAATTACAAATGGAAAGATTTTCCCCAAACAGCCCATTCACAGTACTTACAGCACTGAAGTTAGCAAAATTGCTTGGGTCAGCCTCTTTATTGGCAGTGGTAGTAGTAGTAGTAGTAGAAGTGAATGGATCGCAAAACATATCAGGATCTTTTTCTTTGGGGCTATCATTGCCTGGGAAAGGCTGAAATGGATCTTTCAGTTTAAAGGGATCAGAAGAATCCAATTTGTTGACTGGTCTTTTCCCTGGATCAAAATCATTACAATTAACTCAACCAGCAAATATGGCAAACAAACATGCAAGAACAAGAACAAGGGCAGCATTAAAGAACTAAGGGGTAGGGGAGTAGGGGGGAGTGCCTAAAACACATTCTCAGTATTGCCTTAAATGGCCACACCAACAATCTGTCCTTAAGTTTTTCATGCACAAGCTTTCAAAAAACAAAATGTAGCTCTATGAAGCTAAATGAAAAAGAAAAAAAAAAAGCAAATAACAAAGACGAGTGAGTGGGCCAGGAATCATATTTTTGTTCATTTGTAGATTAAACTCTATCCCCTCCCCTCAAAGCAGCATGTTCCCAAGACGGAGGAAAGGATAAAAGAGGAGAATGACAAGGAATAAAGGGAACACAGTCTCTGGTGTTATAATCTCAGCTTGTTAATTATTCAGTTATCCACTATTTCCAGTAAGGGCAAATGACCTTTGACAAATGCCAAAATTCTTCTTATTTTCCTCTGGATCTATACACAATACCTGACAGCATAAAACTAAAATTATCTCGGCAAAATCCCACCTACTTTTTGCCATCCACAATATTTCAAACTGAAGAATAAACAGAACGTTTTGAAGTCTAGGGCCTAAAGCTTAGTGGTTGCTGATAAACTGATCTTTGACAACAGCAGCATACTGTCCTGTTAGTCACTCATTAACTCATCACCATTTTCAAACAAGTTCTCTAATTTTAAAGTCTTATTTAAACTTGGTACTTCTTGAAGAAAAGATGTAAGAATAGGTGTTAAAATATCTTCAAATATATATTTTTCCTAAAATGCATTAAGCTGGCAATATAATAATATTTTTTTCCATCACTGCAGCAGCTTACGAAAGACACTCATATCCCAGTGGATTCTTCCAATAATCCTGCAAAGCTAGGGAAAATTATCGCCACCATCTAACAGTTGAGGCAACCGAGGATCAGATATATAAATTACACACTCAAGATCACAGAGCATAGTCAGTGGGACAGCCAGGATTAGAGCCCAGCATTAGAACCAGGCTCCCAGTCCAGTGCCTTTTTCAACAAACCACTCTTCCTTCTTGATCCTTCTATGATGACATATACTCACTTTGCTGAAAATTCAGATTTAATCAAGGCACTAGTATATTATTTTACTTACGATTTAAAAAATAATCTCACTAATGGCATCATAAAAACCTGAATGAAAAAACTGATTATTATTTGTTTTGTTTTAAAAAAATATATTCTGACAAGCTTACTCTTCTAGCAACACGTGATACAGGCTGATTTTCCTTAAAGATAGGAATCACTTAACTAATTCATCTGATTTTTCAACAGATAACTGAGTATTAACAATTACACATGTAATTTTTTAAGTCAAGAGAAAAATAATCTTATCAAGAAATACCATGGGGAAATTATTATGAAAAGGCAAGAATAATAATCCATAACTACTGGGGCTGAAATTTCACCAAGGAATGATATATGATTAACAACAATGAACCAGGTGTGTCTTCTCATACAGCAGAAGCAGAACTAGTCAGGGGATTGTCTTTTTAGCTACTTCGCACGAACTTTATCATCTTCATCAAAAACAAACCAAACAAAAACCTTTCTTTCATATATTGTGGGGGAAAAAAAAAAAAAACCCAAAGTGCCTAAGAATTTGTACCTGGAAAAAAGGTAATCACTATTATAAAATAAAGGAGTCTTTTACTGAGTGAGTAAAATTACTTTTTTCTTTAAGAAAAACAATTATCTTATTTTAAACTACTGTATTGCTGAATTCTGGACCTCTGAATTCAGCCATACATCATCACATTAAAAGATTTTTTGGTTTACATCTGGCAGGGAAAAAAGGGGACGCTGAATCAATCTTCTTTTTTTTTTACTGCGAATCAATCTTCTTTTATAGAAATTAATGAAAACACCAAAGCGTAGGAAACTTAGAAACTGTTGTTCAAATGGTAATCAAAGAGCTTTGAAAAAGCAAGAGATTTCATCTACACTTTTCTTCTTCCAAGTACTGCCTCTCTAAAACGATTTAAAAAAAACAAAAACAATTAACTCTTGCCAGAAAGGCAGTTCATGAGTTATACATACTAGCTTATGTCTGCAGTTCTGTGTTGGGCTTGGACAGGTAACAGCAATGGGCTTCTGCCATGTTTTTTGAATCACTCACTTGTTTAAGGCCTTTTACATAATACGTAAGTATACAAGTAAGGACCACACAGTATTCTTTAGAAGAAGAAAAGACATCTGGTTGATTTAGGAAAGGTACCAATTTTCATACCAGGTGGTGGTGGGCAAGGTCTTGTTGGAGTCCCGATCTTTGGTGGCAGTGCTGGGGGCACATCTTCACTTTTGAATGATGTTTCCTCAAACACATTTTTTGTAGTGACCATATTACTGGCAGAACTCAATGTGGCAGAACTAAATGGATCCTCATTGTTGACCTTTGTTTGAAGAAAAATGTTTAGGTATGGTTATATATATGATACCAAGCAAATTGTGCATGGTCATGTAGCATCTGGGAGAATGATGTTAAGTATTATGCAGCTTTACTTATTTCAATTTTGACAACACTGACATTCTAATCTTTGTACTGAGGGCCAAAAGAGAGAAATTAAAAAAAAAATGTTCTAGGTTAGTGATTATAAAATCACTATTTATTAAGACCATCAGATGATATCAAAATAAGCCAACTCTATGCTAAAGGTTTGTCAAGCTTCAGGCAATATTACATACAAAACCATTTGAAGCTCCTTTTAAAGGGAATGTACCTCTTTCCTCAAATTAATATCTGATTCAATGATAATTTAAAAAAAAAAAAAAACACTGAACTCACACTTCCCAAAACACTTCAGTATAGGAAATCAATACCAATGCCAAAGAAAATGGCATCTTGAAAAACTGTAAAGACAATCTGAAAATCAATTTTTTAAAGCAAAGTGATCCCATGGAATGACAGTCTTAGTGCAGAGTAATGAAAGATTCACTTTTCCACAATGAAGCAGATTTAATGATTTTACATCTATTTAGACCAGGGTCTCTCAAAAGTGTCACTAGTAGTGGCTTTTTATGCTGTCAGTAATTCTTTGTTGGGGAAAGGTGTTGCTATCCTGTGTACTGTAGGATATTTAGCAGCATCCCTGACCTCTATCCACTAGATGTGAGTAGAACCCCCCACCCAGGTGTAACAACCAAAAATGTCTCCAGACATTGCCAAATGTCCCCTGGGGGGCAAAGTCACCCCTTGTTGAGAACCATTGATACAGATAATTTGATATCTACTTTAATCCTCTCTAAACCTGAATCCTAGAGCTACACTGGATGAAAAGTAGTAGACAAAAGTGCTGGACTATGTGTATTAATTATCTCAATATTGACCCTTAACAGCCTCAGAACATAAAACCAAGTAAGCAATGCAGAGAGGATGGAATGATTGCCCATATATACAGTGACTGACCCAGCTAGTCAAGAGGGAAAACTAAATGAAGTTTAATATGAAGAAAAGCACTAAAATTGTTGAGCAATCCAACCAGTAGAAAATTAGAAATTACCTATGTCATCACTATAGTCTATTTGTGTTTAGGATATCTACTTTAACTACATCTTTCATTTCTATCTGAAATCAACATTTGCTGTGGCTTGTTGAAATCAAGTTGCTATGTCTCTGCCAGGGTTATGTAACTGAAAAGAGGGACTGCTCCTTTGGTGGAAACAGAGTATATTTTTTCTTCCATTAATCATTGCAGGTTACCTCTGACAATGTGCTGAAGTCAGCAAATCCATCTCCAAATGATTCATTTCCAAAAACAGAAGCAAAGGGATCGGTGGCTAAAATGAATAAAGAAAATCAATGCAACAGGACAGAAATACATCAAAATTTCATATTTTTTGATTATTAACATTCAGACAAATGAAATATCTAATCCCAAATATTAATCCCTGAATTTATGACTAAAGTTCACAACTAACAGAGAACAAATTGATAATCCCACAAGATGTATTCCTTTGTATAAATTAACTGATGAATGATTCAAGATCAAACACAGGTGAACTAATTCTAGTTAGTGTTTAATGCTTTGGAATATGTGTCAAATAATATAGCTCCCATGAATTTGAACTATTTCTAATAAAGACATCAAGAAGTAAAAAAAGCTAGACATTCATATCACATCTCATTTCAAATGCTACCTCATCCAAAAGCCTGGAGTAATCCAAGTGTCTCTAATTCTCATAGCAAGAAGTGATTTCTTCCTTGTCTACGGCACTGACTGATTCTAGTTCGTACTATGGTCATCTGTGATTGAAATATCATCTTTATTAGACTGTAAAGTCCTTGAAAACAGGGAACAAGGCTTATCCACTGAAGAATGAACACTCACTAAACATCTGTTGACCATATAACAAGTCCAAGAAAATAAGAGACAGTCTCTACCCTTGAAAAGCTCACAGTCTAATGAGAGACATGTAAACAAACAACCTTTAGTGGTTGGTGGTGGTGATTGTATTCAATCTGTATGCTGGGCAAATAATCTGAGAAGTTGGACTATATGAAGAAGAACAGCATCAGGATTGGAGGAAGACTTATTAACAACCTGCATTATGCAGATGACACAACCTTGCTTGCTGAAAGTGAAGAGGACTTGAAGCACTTAGTGATGATGGTCAAAGACCACAGCCTTCAATATGGATTACACCTCAGCATAAAGAAAACAAAAATCCTCACAACTGGACCAATAAGGAACATCATGATAAACAGAGAAGACTGAAGTTGTCAAGGATTTCACTTTACTTAGATCCACAATCAACACCCACGGAAGCAGTAGTCAAGAAATCAAAAGACGCATTGCATCTGGCAAATGTGCTGCAAAAGAGCTCTTTCAAAAAAAGCAAAGATGTCACCTTGAAGACTAAGGTGCTCCTGACCCAAGCCATGGTGTTTTCAATCACCTCATATGCATGCGAAAGCTGGACGATGAATAAGGAAGACTGAAACAGAATTGTCACCTTTGAATTATGGTGTTGGTGAAGAATATTGAATATACCATTAACTGCTAAAAGAACAAACAAATCTGTCGTGGAAAAAGTACAGCCAGAATGCTCCTTAGAAGCAAGGATGGAGAGACTTCGTCTTACATACTTTGGACATGTTGTCAGGAGGGATGAGTCCCTGGAGAAGGACATCATGCTTGGTAAAGTAGAAGGTCAGCGAAAAAGAGGAAGACCCTCAACGAGATGGACTGACACAGTGGCTACAACAATGGGCTCAAGCAGGACTGGGCAGTATTTCATTCTGTTGTACACAGGGTCACTATGAATCGGAACCGACTCGACAGCACCTAACAACAACAAACAAACAATAAAGAAACAGTTTGGTAAAAGCTTATTAGAGGGATATGAAAAAAATTATAGTGGGAGTCACTGTCTAGGAGAATAAGGAAAAGTATCAAAGAAGTCATTCTACTTGAGCTAGGTCTCTTCAAACAAGGAATAGGTTTGCCAGATAGATACAGGGTGGGGGAAAATGAGGTACTCCAGGCAGAAGAATGCAAAAGCATCTTGGTACAAAAAAAGCATGGTGTATTTATGGAGAGGATTCCAGGGAGCTGAAAAACAGAGTATATGGGGAAGAGTGATTTAAAAAAAATAAAAAGACTGAGGCTGCATCATTTAAGGAACTTATGTCTGTCTTCATTCTTTAGACCAGATATTTGCAAACTATTTTTTTACCCAGAAATTTTGTTTCAATAGAAACATTACACAAAATCCTAGTATACAGAAAAGGTTTCCTGGGTGGTGCAAATAGTTAAGTGCCCAACTACTAGCCAAAAGGCTGGCGGTTCAAACCCACCTAGAGGCACCTCAGAAAACAGGCCTGGTGACCTGCTTCCGAAAGGTCACAGCCTTGAAAACCCTATGGAACAGTTCTACTCTGCACACATGGGATCGTCATGGGTCAGAACTGACTCGATGACAACTAACAACAGTATATAAAAAATTATAGAATTACTAGGATTGAAGAGGGAAAGATGAGAAGAGGAGAGGTACATTAACTGGAGCTTTTCTTGTCTGGTCTTTGCTGCCCTTCATTCAGTCATATAACAGATATTTACTGAAAGTCTATTTGCTATTTGTGGTACTGGGGTCATAAAGGTAGCCAGACAAAGCCCCTGGTCTCACAGAGCTTTGGTTCCAGTTGCGAAGAGAGGGACAAACAAGGTATCTGGTAGACTGATACAAATAAAACGGGAATATGACAGGAAAAGACTGGAGAAGCTCCGTTAGATTGCATGGTCAGAGATGCCTCTCTAAACAGTTGACATTTAAGGTGATATGAAGGAACCAGCTATCGCAATATCTATGAGAAGAGTGTTCCTGAAGCATATGGCATGTTGAGAAGAATGGTATGACATCAGAGAGGTGAGCAGGGGCATGATTATGAACAGTGAACCTTGAAATGGGATACAGGTGTCTGAGGTATTGATCTCTTTAGCCGGAGCGAGGTAGGGGAGAAGTGAGGTAACCTAGTAGCTTGTACAGTTTACTGCACAAATATTAACATTTTAAAAATGTGTACCAAGATATAGAAAAGGGTTGGAAAAACCGAGGTTGCCCATGATAAGGAAATTAGATTTCGTTCTTAGAAAACTGGGAAGCCACAGGAAAAGTTTAAAGAGGAGTGATATGATTATGTTTGCTTTGTTAATTATCACTTTGACGGCTGTGTGGTGATAATGAATTGCAACAGAGCAAAAGCGAAAGCAGGACACTAGTTGAAGGCTATTACAAGCAGTTCAGGAGACAGATAATGGTGGCTGGAGCTAGGGTGGCAGTAGTGAAGATGGAGAGAAACAGATTAACAATGCATTTTAAAGGCAGAGTGACTTCAGAAGGAAAGATCAAGGATGACTTCTTGATTTTTGGTTTGAACAAAGGGGTAGATTGTGGAGTAGACTGGAGGAAGAACATGGAGAGGAAAGGCACGAACTCTATTTTGGACATGTTAAGTTTGAGATGCCTATTAAACGTTCAAGTAGAGATGTTAAGGCAGGCTGATATGAGTCTATAGAGAAGAAGTCAAAGTGGAAAGTATAAAATGGGGTGGCTCTTCAGCATACACGTAGTATTTAAAGCCATTCAACTGGATGGAGAGAACAGAATTTACAGGGCACTGCTATAACCTACTCATGTTGAGGAGTCACTTGATTAGTTCTCAAAATGCTCATGGTCTATGATAAGAGGAATGATGGAGTACTGAGTGCAAAGTTTTATCAAAGTATATGAATACACAGGAAGGGCTAAAAGGAAGGGGTCTAGCACACTTAAGTCTATATATTTAATTTCTTTCTCATTTCACAAAGGATTGAGACAATTTATATAGTACATAATAGATGCTCAATGAGTATTTTCTGATATAACCAACCAATCATATCTGTTGGGCTTCAGATTTCACAGAAGGATTTTTTTTTTTTTTTTTTTAAATCACAGCTGAATAGTTTTTTTAATTTTGGTGTACCTAGGGATACATTAAAAATAGCTGATACTCTTGAGCACCAAATGGCTGAGCAAGAGGTGAGAGAAGAACAAAACGAGGCATGCATAAGACACAAAACAGTGGAAAAACTGAATGATGAAGCAGTGATGAAGCAGAGCAAGCTTCACAAAGGAGGTGACATCTGAGTTGATTTTGAAAAATAAGTAGAGAATTGTGGGAAGAGGGGTAAGAGGAAAAGAAAAAAGTATTTTTTAGCACAAGTACTGCAGGGAAAAATATGTGTAAACGAGAACTACAAGTTCATTTAATTAGTGCAGTATTTTCTACATCAGATAAGTAGTTAAGTCCCTCAATAAGGAGGCCTGGTGGTGCAGTGGTTAAGTGCTTATCTGCTAACGGAAAGGTTGACGGCTTGAACCTGTTATGGGACTCTAGAGGCTGAAGACACCTAATTAATTAGTACTCCATGGGTTATCAGACCATGTCTAGTCACCACCTCCACCACGTCACTCACTTCCTCTAAGTTGTTCTCCAGACCCTCTGCAGAGCCCCGGAAGGGTAAGATCTGGATCTAACTGACACAGAATGGTCAGACATGCGCAGAACAGATAAAGATGACCGACAGACGACCCTGGATTGCCACGCATGCTCAGTAACACAAGAGAACTCATGTCAAGGAACCAAAATCACTCGATATACGTCATCGGCAGCAGTCGAGCCCATTTCAAAAGTGAAGAGTCCGTGGTCACTTCTGGGCCAAATCTCAGCCCCGCCTCATAATAATCAACAGAAACTATGAATAATTAAAACTTTCTGATCCTGCCCACTGTCTTCCTCCACCCCTATGTGAATAAGTATAAAATGTGATTTCTCACTTAAATTGAGGAACTCAATCTGAGGTCGATACCGCTGAGTTCCCGCTTGCTAGCCTGCAAAATAAACTCTTCCTCTCAAAACCAGCATCTCAGAAACTGGCTTCTTGCACTCTGGGTGCAGTCCCATTGCTCTGGTTTCAAACCCACCAGCTGCTTCGCGGGAGAAAGATGTGGGCAGTCTGCTTCTGTAAAGATTACAGCCTTGGAAAGACTACATGGCTCCTCTGTCCTACAGGGTAGCTGAGTTGGAACTGACCTGATGGCAGTGGGTTTTTGGAAGTCCTTTAATGACTATAACTTAAATATGTATTTCTTTTGTGTGTGTGTATTTAAACACATTTTTATAATAACTGTGCTCCTTGTTAGCTTTTTTTTTTGTCTCCCATACAGAATTTTTTTTTTTTTTTTAAACATACATTGTTATAAGACCCCAACAGCTCACCCCATTCTGCAACAGCACA